GTTACTGGTTTTGAGTACGAAATTTTTGGATATATTTCCTATGACAGCGAATTCTCAGAAATCAAGTTACTGGAGAGTTGCTGGCAAGTTACTAGACAATTTTTACATAAACAAATCTTTGGCAGGGGTCGCAAAATTAAAAACATATGTATACTGATATAGTATTTTGCACTTTTTACAAAGGCAATGTTGTCATATTTTTGTTAGCAAATAGGTGTGATGTTGTAGCCAATCTGTTGATCAATAAAAACATGTAAATCAAACATCTAATTATTTGCCCATCTCTACAGAGCAAATTGTTTGTTTCGCAATACTATGTACGAGTATATAGTAGATAGTAGTGCAACGCTTTGAATGTGCAAAATAACAGTCTTGCCTCGCAAATGTTTACTATAGAATTTAATTGCGCACAGTGTGTAGTAGATGATGATATTGTTATTTGTGTTTTATTATTTCTTATCTACGTACATACATATCTATGTATTTCTGTGTTTGTGTTCATATGTATGTATGTATTTTATGACCGACCATCATCCAACCCGCCCAATCAACGGCGCCTCGTGGTAGCCTTCATGCCTAATCCAATGGCTGAGATAAATGATGCTGCTGATAATATAACATCCGCACTTTCGAATCTAGTAAACGATTTGAATGCAGGTAAATGTCACAAATACCCCCAAACCCATTCATTTCTCGATTAGCAGTATCACTCAGAGCGCGCAACTCTAGGCAAGTAACTGTAATTAAGTCACATCATTTAAATGTTGCCGCTCTTCTTGTTGCTTTTTCATCTTTTGTCTAATCAGTGCTTTTTTCATTCTGCTGGTAATTTATTATCTTATCGGCGTATGGCATAATATTCTATCACTTGTTGGAGATGTATAAAAATGTGACACGTTTTCATGCAATGCATATAGTAATGCTAAATACATACAAATGTACATGTTTATGCGCATATTTTCATATCGTCACCGTTAAGACAAAAGGCAAAATGTATCTCCGAAAAATTTTCATATGGGATCTTTCGCATTGATAAAGACGATAAATAGTTAAAAAGTGCTTTTCTCATGCTAAAACATTTTCAACTTCCCAAAAAAAATATACTATTTTTATGCTTTCGTGTTAAATCGTTGCACACTTTTTCAGGACCAGCAGCGTCTCCCTTGCAACCTCGCTTTATAATGCCGCTTGGTAAGTTGGCTAATGCCCACCTCTCAATTGATCCTTTGCTAAAACCAAAACGCCTACTGTTATCGCCGTTGCTCTATACATAAAATTATAACAATTTTAATTAAAAAAAAAAAAAAAACGCTTAAACGTGCGCCATCCACACTTATTTCGGCGCACAGTGAGAGAATTTCGGCCACAAAAGAAAAAAAAAAAACAAATATGTTTTACTATTCAAAAATAAAAGTTCTTGAATTACATACACGTGAATCGAGGTTGAACATGTAGATTTATTTTCTTTAAAATCCGACTTTATACTACATAACTACGGTGACCATTCGTGCCGATTTTGGCGGGACAGTACCGATTTTGAGAAAATGGTCCCGCTAAATATTTTTTAAAAGTCGGGACGTTAAGTTTTTTCCGGTATAGAACAATCCTAGGGGGTAAGAGCATTAAAATTCCGACTTATATGTACCAATTGTTGTTTTGCAAGGCCCAATGTTAGTATAAATTCAAATCTCCCACTGTGCGCCAAGCAGTATCCAATATATCGAGACCTAACCGCCAAAATAACGTAGCGACATGTTTTTCAAAATTTTCTTTTTGATTCTGAAATGCATCTAGATGCTCTAGGAATATTTCTGTATCAAAAACAAAAAAAAAAATAAAAAAAATAAAAATAAATGAAAATTTCGCTACCGTTAGCTTGGCAGTTAGGGCTCGATATATTCAATATGTATATACATAGAGAGCTGCACAAGTGCACATAAAACTGGTTCCAAGTAATTTTCTTTATTTAATATAACATTGCAATGCTTTTTTTCGCAACTAATAATTCAATACAAAAACACAAAGAGAAACCAATAAGTCAAATAACTACCTAAAATGTAGATATGTATGTATCTATGTATGTATGTATAATTTATAGAATACAAGATTGCGTATTCTTGGCGGCGAAGACATTTCTCAACCTTTGCTTTCTACATCATGAATATGTATGTATGTACACTGGCGCTTAAAAGTGAGTGAATGGTAATTTTTTTAAATGTTCACAATATTTTGCAAGTCAAGATGTTTCTAAACATTTTCTTTTTAAATATAGTTAATGCTATTTAACAAACCTTATAAATCAAAATTTCAAACTAAACAAAATTAAAAAAAAAATGTAAAAATTTCGAAGTTTTTAATCTGATTATTAGAAAGTTTTTGGGTATGCAGTTTTAAAGCACATGAAATTTTAGTATGCATATGTTATGCATGTATGTTTCAAACAGCTAAGAAGTAGCGTTGATTTTTAATAACTTTTTTCCGCCTGTCTTTTGCGGATTTTTCCATATAACAAGTGCAATTTATATAAATGGCTTTGACTTTCTGAGGTTTTTTTTGCGAACGGTCTTCCGCATTTCCTTGCACAACAAATTTTTGCTTTTAAAGAAAAAGTTTACAATGCCGTTAAAGAAAATTATTAAAAATATACGCGACTTTTTAGCGGCCTCAAACAGGCATTTATTTTCCTAATTTCACGAGCTATACAGTTATATCCAAAAAATTTTCTAAAAATTCAGATTAAAAATATTGAATTTTTAATAAATATTTTTAGAATTTTCCTAAATTTTGTACTAATGCTGGATTTCCATTGGGCATTAAAAAATAAAATAATCGTGTCATTTGAATGCCTAGTGCAAATTCGGCATAAGTTTGAAACTTTGACTAATATGGTTATGATTGCAGCATACAGAATATTTTTATACAAAGTTATCAAACAAATTTTAATTTGAAAAACATTGTGATTATTTAAAAAAATTACCATTCACTCAGTTTTGAAACATTTACTAATACGGTTATGGTTATAACATAAACAATTTAATGTAAAAAAATCGCCATCCACTCAGTTTTGATAGTGTATATCAACAAGCATTGTTGCTTCAAATCTCTATTGTGGGAGAAGACAATGAACAAGTAAAATGAATGAAAATTCAATCCGTAACCATTTGTGCGTTTGAACCGAAGCCAGTTGCAAATTGTGTGCTTTTATTTATTAAGCATTCATAAAATACAAATTTAATTTTTAAATGTTGCGTTGAAACTGAAAATTTGCAATAAATCCCGATAAGTCCCAAATTAAGCGGGAAGTATTAATTTTATCGTAGAATCAAGTGCACTTGTGCAGATGCATAATACAAACAGTATTGGCCAACGCAATAGCACCTTCATTTCAAAGTGATATTGTTTGCCACTCGTGTTCATTTACTTTAAAAAATGTCAATTAAAATACAGTTCATTCTCTAACAAACCCCATATAAACCAAAGTTTAAAACTTTGCAGAAAAACAAAAAAAAAAAAATGCAAAACAATTTCACCAAAATTTCAAACTTTTTTCTCAGAAGTGTTAGAATTTTTTTGAGTACACATTTTTATAGCCCCTTCAATTTTAGTCTAACAGTGTGCAAGATTCAAGTGGCTAACTTGAACATTGTCAGTCTAAAATTGAATGGGCTATAAAATTGCGTACTCAAAAAAATTCAAACACTTTTGAGAAAAATATTTGAAATTTGTTGATTTTTTTTTGTAGTCTTTTACAAAGTTTAAAACTTGCGTTTATATGGGTATTTTTAAGGTACTGGCCCAATGCAGACTTGCTTTGCTTGCTTCGCCTTGAGAAATTTCGAAAATTATATGGAATATATTAAAACGCATGATGGCTGGCCAAATGGCAGCTTTTCTTCACTCGCTTTAAGCGCCTCAAAGTTTCAAATAGGCAAATGTTTTATTTGAAAGCGTTTTGTTAAATAAATTCAAACAAAAATTTGCTTACTTAATTTAAAAAAAAACGCAGAAATACCAGAATTTCTAAATTAAATAAAATTGTTCGTTTTTTCCATATTTATATATAACATTTGCAAATTTAACACGAGATGAAAAAGCTTTTTGTAGCCCTTTTCTTCAAGTAAGTCGCTGTATTTGAGTTATAGGGCTTGTACGAGCTGCAATCACAACCGCAGTGTTGCGCGAATTATTAAAGTATCACGTTCTGTGTGGATTTATTGCAACGTATTATCAGCTCGGCAGTTGCAACAGGGTTGCAAATTTTCATCAGTACGGCAGTAATGCCGCTTTTATTGCGTGCCTCGAACAGGCCCATAGTTTTTTTTAGTAAATGTACATATGTATGTATCATTATTACCATACAAGTATTAATTCGCATTAATTTAAAGTTCACTCTGAAAAGATTGAACTGTAGATATAACATAAATTTTCGTATTAATTTTCTGAAGTTTTCTGGGAAATAGTTCTTAATGTTTAGGGAACAGACCTTGACTTTTAAACCACACAGCTGTTTACTTTGACAGCGGTCCAAGCCGCCATATGGCCTAACAAGTTTTCAAAGTTAATCAAAGCAAACTAAAGTAAGCCAGGCGTGTAAAGCAAGCCTGCATTAGGCCAGCGCCTTTAGAGAATGAACTGTATTGTAATTGAAAATTCTTAAAAATTAATAATTAAACATAAGTGGCGAACAATGTAACTTTGAAATGGGGGTGCTATAGATATGGCCAATACTGTATGTACATATGTTTGTACACAACTACTTACATAATCGATTTGGAGGCAGAAAATACGTACTACATACATACGTTCTTTTCTTATGCTCTCCAATTTATTTTAGACTACTTTCCTAATAGACGACGTAAAAAGCGTTGCAATTGTAGACTTTCCAATAACGACTCTTAACTTCTCCCATTCTTTACCTATGTATGTTTTGTAACCGCCAACGTACTATGTCCACTATTACATACAAACTACAATAAATAAATAAATCTATAACTACCGCCATAACGGCCTCGCTTGCCAATTTGTGGCGATTTCTGCCAATTTTTTAAACCAACATTACTTGAACAAAAAAAAAAAAACACAAGACATGCGTCACGTTGTTGGCGGTGAATCATCAATCGATGGAGACATATCCGATTCGGCAGAAGCGAGCGGTGCCACTATTCACTATAACTATGAAAACGACGACAATAATTATGATGTTGATGAAGAAGAGAGACGTTTATTTGAAAATGTCTTTCAAACCGATGAAGAGTATAAATGGCTGGACGATTGCGAACGACGTACACACAATCAACGCAGCATCATGTGCTATAAACATTATCCCAACTTTTTGATTGATGATGAAAATGCCGGCTTTCCGGCATTGCACGAAATTGGCGAGACAATCGATGAAATGCAGCTAATTATGCATGCTTTGGTCATGAAATACAGTATGAGCTTGTAAACTATACGTGTACTCTAGCAACAGCTAAGCCGAATTGTTTACTAAAGGTAAACGTGTAGTTAGCTTGAAAAGAAATACATACATGCGTACTAGCAAATTAATTAGAGAATTAAAAATTTGTTAGTAAGTTACTTATGGGTATTGGGAGCATTGTTCCGTAATGGACTGTAGAATAATAATATACTACGTAGATAGATTATAATGAGCTATAAGTAACTGCGTACATATACATAACAATTTATTTTGTGAACTTATCAAAAAAGTTTACTCTGCTAGTGGAACTTCGTATTTAGCTGCACTGTAATCCATGCTTTCAGAGTTAGCTGAATATTAGAGAAATCATAAAGAATTCGTTAATATTATTTTTTTCGATTTTTGCCGGATTTTCTAAAATGAAATTTACTTGCACACTTGGATTTTTTTTTACGAAATTTCAAAAGAAATTCGGTAAAGAAATGAAATTAATGCTGCGACGTTAAAGGTTTTTTTCAGAATTTTCTGAAAGAAACTGTACAGAGAGTTCGTGGCAATTAGTTCATTGATTTTCTGCGAAGATTCGTCATGAAATCGAAACACATTGCCGATACTCCTAAAGATTTTGGGAGCGCTGGTTTACAGGGTGTGCAAAAACTTCGTAGATGTCATTTGTTTATCGAATTCCAAACGGGGTCTAAAATCATTTTTCTTTTTTGTTGTTTTCTATAGGTTCAACACATGATACAAAAAGAAGGTAGTTTCAATAAACAACTTTTCTCGAATAATAAAATTTTTTGAAGTTTCATAAATTGTGAGCATTCTCAACGGCCATACCACTTTTATAATATTAAAACAATAAATCGGAGTATTTTCTTTTCCACATTTATACCAATTAAATAATATATCAAATCAAAAATCATTATCATTTTTTTACTTAGGTGGTTCGCACCTTTTTTATTAAAAATACATGAAATATGTAATGTTAAAGGAGACTTCATTGAAATTGTTCTTTTTATTTTATAATAAAAAACACGAGAGCATTATGTTGTTATTTTTTCATTTTCTTATTTTGTATGCAATCTTGCAATTTAAAAATCTAATTCTAAAGAATTCTCTTTTCAAATAAACCCTTTATAATCGCCAATTCCATGTGAATAAATTGTTCTCATAACTTAACATGCAAAACAAAAATAAATTGGGAACAATTATTTTTGTTTTACTTTATAATTTTGGGAAAATTTGTTCACATGAAATTCGTTTTTGCAAAAATTTAGGCTTTGTGGTTAGCGTATCACCATTAACTTCAACAAATTTCGAATTTAAAATTTCCAATGTATGCAAAAAACTTGAATTCGGCTTGCGCAGGCCGCCCTCCGATAAGCAATTAGCATAAGTATAATTTTGATCACTTTCTTCATCCGTTCTGAAACCTAGTTTCGTCAACCCCCTTTTTGAGATTATGCATTAATTTTCAGGTGCATCATATTCGACATCTTTGAGTGGACTGATGAAATCTTCTGCTTAAAAAAAAAAAAAAAAATTACTGCTCGTGATCAGGTAGCATGAATTTAATGAAATGTCATAATTTTATTAAAAGTCAAATGGTTAACAACAACAACGAATGCCATTAAATGAAACTACCTTCTTTTTGGTATCATGGGTTCAACACAAGGCATATCAAAAATTTGTAGCATTAGAGCAAAACAACATTTACGTGTATTTTATTGTGGATTTTGGTATCTAAAGCTTCAAAAATATTCTAGGTTTTTAAATATCATAGTCAAGGCGAATTCATATAAGGTGGTGTGGTTTCATCAGCTGTGCGTAGTGTTTGATTGTCAAATTTTTGTATTTCGCTAGTGAGCGAGTTGAAAAAAAAAATCTTGTCAGTCTGCTCCTTATACTGAAATAACTTTTGAGTTCATTTCTAAAGGTAAGAAGAAAATAGTAAACCAAATAAATGGTTCTGGGTGAGATCATTGAGAAAACAACGAAAAGTTAGCGACAATTCCAAAAAAAAAAAATGTTGTACATGAAAGAGTCACTAGTAAAAAAAAGTTTTACTAAGGAAATTGACATTTTCTTGTCGAAAGAAACTTCGCCAATTTCCTCTCTTCCTTGAAAAATTAACTGGTATTAAGTGTTGACAGGCCCTACCATTGCGTTCGTGAGCGGTCTTGCTTTCATTATCCACCTATGATTCGAAGGATCTATCTTGGAAAACTGTTCTTTTTACAGCTCCAAAGACTCCAAAGCGTTTTCACCATTGGTCAATATCGTCCATATTTCTGCGATTTTATTTGATAAAGTAAAATCAGTTGGTTTATGAAGGCTTTCACATAGTATCATCGATAGGGTTTTATGAGCAACGCAGCATATTTTTATAAAGAAATAAGTAAAATAAAGTAACAAAAAAATAAATTGTTGAAACTTGTCAATTTGCGGTGCGCATATAATTATGACCCGCAGGGTATATACATATATACATGGTTAATTTTTTAACTTTATCATTTCATAAATAAGCAGTCATGCTGAAATAAACAAACTACGAAATGCGACGAAAACTTCAGTGCTGCCAAATTTTCTTGGTCGAGTCGAAATTTTAAGCAAAGCCATGACTTCACTTGTATTTGACACGACACTCGCAATGAGACTGAATATCATTTGGTTATATGAATTGGCATCATAAAAAATACCTCCGTTCAATTTATATAACATTGTGTTTCCACTATACCCAAATTTCAATATAAAATTATAACGGTTTATACGTTTGATAACAATTTCAATCACTATTTCTGCCACGATTTTCCTTACTGTTTTGTTTGATCCTCTACTGATCCTGTGGCAGGTTCAAAATACAAACTAAACTGCTTTCTTTAAAAGCCTTTTCATTATTCAATTTATTTGTTTTGAAATATTTTTTTTTGTTTGCTTCATCAGTCATCAATTCTTCTTGTTTAGTTTTTTCTATGACGAAATCAAGAACCGTAAATTAAGATGAAAGCGAGAATAATGAACTAATTATGCACTTTGGGGCACGTGGAAACACACCATAATTTCGTACCAATAAAATAGTATTTCAAACTAGTATACATACATATACAGTGGTCGAAAAAATTATAGCCGCACCACATATTGACATGTTTTCACAATTTATTTATTTTGATTTTTAGTTAATTTTTTATAAAATGACAGTTCATTCTTTAACAAAAACCGTGTTAATCCAAGTCTCAAACATTGTGCAATTAAAAAAAAAAATCAGCACACTTTTTAAAAATTTCGGCATTTTTAATTAGATATCTTAGAAGGTTTCTGAGTATGCAGTTTTTAGCTCATTAAATTTTTCCTGTCGAAGATTTTACGGTTTTCTTCCATTTAAAAATTGATTTTATTTATTCGTTACATGCGAAAAAATGGGACAAATTAAATTTCAAAAAAATCTACAGTAATTTTTAGCCATTTCAAACTTTGGAATTGAATGGGCTATACAACTGTATATCCAAACATTTTATAAAAATCCCGAATAATTTTTTTTTCGAATTCTGAATAAAAAGGGTGAATTTTTGATGAAACTTTGTTTATTTTTTATTTTCGTTAAAAGTTTGAAACATGGATTTATATATTTTTTTTTTTGTTAAAGAATGCATATATTTTTTATAAAAAAAGGACTAAGATTAAATAACAAAAAAAAACTATCAAAACTTGTCAATATAGTTAGTATGGTGCGGCTATATTTTCTCGACCACTATATTAAATGAATACGTAATATAAGTATAACAATTTCTTTAGTTTGAAATAAACAGCAAATTAATTAAAAAAAGTCTAAAGTCTTATTTTCAATTTAAATTTTTATTTTCAATTTAATATTTATTTCTTATTTTCACCCACAATTTGTATACCTGGGAGTGGCAAGGCCTACTTCATATTCGTATAATTTTATACGGATCAGCCGATTTCTTTCTTCATGGATGCTCTACTTGTATACATATTCATCTAAATTCCATATGACTTTCTATGAAATGAATGGTTTTACTGAAGCTGAATATACATATGTAAATTGCAACATTTTTTTGCTGGGTCTTAAAAGTGAAACAAGATCCTTTCGCTCACCATGTCTGCGATTAAGCCTCCACTTCCTTGTGAACTTTCGTATAAACTTTCATAACTTGCCATATCATTTATATTTTACATATGTACATTAGGGTGGTCCTTAAAAACCAAATGAACGGTTTCTTTCAGCCTCACCCTCTCAATTGGTAATAGGTACCACGGTCAAAGATATCACATAAATTTTGTTCCTGATTGCAGACGGTTAAGGCGTGTCGCACAGGAGGCAAAGTGCAGATTCCTCTATAGAGACTCAAAAACTTAAAAATAGATATTTTTTTTTTATCTAATACCCAACATCGATACTACTAAAGTCGAGGATATATATAAATTTTGTTTCCGATTGGAGTCGGTTAAGACGTCTTCATAGGGTAAGCTGAACTTTGACCTTCAATCAGGACCAAAATTTGTATGTGATATCTTCGACTACGGTAGTATCGATTTTGGGTATTATATGAAAAAAAGCTAATTTTAATTTTTTGAGGCTCCATAGAGGAATCTGTGATTTGCCCGCCCCCTGTGCGACACGCCTTAACCGTCACCAATCGCGAGCAAAATATCTTGGACTATAATAGTATCGACGTAGGTGTTGAGGCTTAGGCAATCTGATGTAAAAATTTGCTTCCTACGTTTAAGGACCACCGTATCGTACATAGATGATCTCGTTGTAGATTTGTCTCATGAATGTATGTATATAGAAACAAATTTCTTAAACAAAATGCTCATATGTAAATATTTACTTGAATTGAAAAAAATAATTTAGATAATAATTTAAAAAAAACTTTAATTGCTAATACATCAGATATTTAGAGAAGCTTAGCAGTTGTAAAATGGTTTTCGCAGTATACATACTTAATTTATCTTCTTTTCAACTCCGCTTTAAATGCGATTTTGCAGACTTTGATGAATCGCAGTCGTATAACAATGAATGGATCGTTAAGGTAAAGGATTGTAAAATAAAAAATAAAAAAAAAGTTGTAAAAATAAAACCCTGTAAATGTTTAGACCTAACAGTAATTGTCGCAGTAATCCTTTTCATCCATTTTTGCTCGCCACTTGAAAAAGAATTACTCAATAAATACGTATAAATGTAATATTTCTATTCATTTGGGCCGTGCTTTGAAGTATTAAACTTAGAAGCTTAGCTCTCTATGCAATTTAATACTTCGAATATACCTGGTCTTAAATATTTTATCTACATATTTATAAGTTAATTATATGTATATGTATGGCATAAACGCCTATCCCCCTCATTTGACGCCTGTTGTAGATAAAACATTATTTGTATATAAAATCATTAGATGGGTATTACTACAAAATATAAGTATGTATGTAAATTCCAATTTTTTTATTTGTTAGATGTGATTTTGAAAAAAAAGAAAACACTTTTCGTTCTATAGCAAACTCTAATATTTTCGTATCTCCTCTTTCACAGACCAATGCGAGTAATCACTGGCAGGAACAGTTCGCCCAATGGAGGTTGCAATTTCAGAATGACTAAGAGCCAGCAATGAAATAACAACAAGAAAAGCGGCGCTTCTTTTTGTACTTAGACTTATTTTTAAAAAGCAAAACTCTTTATACTGCTTACAAAGGAGAATGAAAAAAGAAACAACAATAACAACATATAAAATGCTTAGAAGCATAATTAAAAAGTGTATACATAAGTACATACATATAAATATTATGTGCAGAAATTATTTATTTACTTTAACTATTTACTGTTTAACTATATTATATGAGCGAACTTCTATTGAATTTTGTGTTTTAGTATACTAAGGAGTGTTATAAAACCATGCTTTGTTTGATATTTGGACGCTAGCTTTTATAATTGTAAGTTGTATGAGCGAAAAACACTAAATGATTGTATTTAATTAAGATATGCAAAATAAAGACTCATAAATAAATTAATAATAATAAACAAACAAATACATTAATGACTTAATACGATATACAATACCATAAACTTATAGTAAAAAAATGAAGACAAATTAAATTCTAAATTTAAATCACTTGATTTTAATTAAACGTAGTTTACAAGATGTTTTCGAAGGTCATATTTTACTGCGTTTTTAAAAAAAAAGGATGAATAGAACTGCAATGGGGTTTTAGATGTTTTTGTATACATTTTTTTATTGGTGGATATTATACATATGTATATAGCGCTTATGATAATTATACCGCACCAAGATATTGATGGGGTTTCACTCTTCTTAAATTTAATTTAATTTGAATAATTTTTTAATAAAAATATATATACATACATACATAGTTAATACAGCCTTACATACACATTCCATATACATATCGTCGTTTAAAGTAAAAGACCGCGTAACTGAAATTTTTTGCCAAAAATTGGATTTGCTCACCGAAGTTCTTGGCTGTGTGTGTGTGCGGTTTTGCATTATTTTGATGTGCGGTTTTGTGCTTTAAACGACGATATGTAGTACAAACGAAAACAAAGTTTCATAAAGATTTCACACTTTATTCAGAATTCGTAGAAAGTTGTTATAATACACAAAAAAAATTAGAGTTCCGTTAATTTCTTCATGATCCAATGACCGGATCTAAACCAAATTAGTATGGGACCACCTTCGAGGTACTACCTTTCTTTTAGGAATTGTAGAAATTGGTTAACGTGATCTAAAGATATGCGGTAACATAAAAAAATAAATAAAAATTTTCCGACGAATTGATAACCTCCTCCTTTTTGAAGTCCAACATATCCAAATGTAAATCCAAGTTTCAAACTTTGTAAAAAATTAACACAAATTTCCGTCAAAATTTACTCTTTTTATTCAGAATTCATTTGTGTGTGGAGTTTTATAGCCAATGCATTTCTTATAAATATAATATATTTAAGTGCAAGAGTAAAGCGGCAACAAAGTACCTTTGTTTTTTAGCAAGTTTTTGTATTGACGGATTTATAGGATTTATGTTCGATTTTTTTTTAATGGAGGAAAATGTTCAACACCTAAAATTCTGAATAAAACCGTGAAAGCTTAATGAAACTTTGTTGTTGTTCAATATGTGGGAATCGTATAGTTATGATAAGCACTATATGTGCATATGTATGTATGCATACCTATATTTTTTCCTTCAAGCATAAATCGTGGTAACAACTATGACTTTGAACTTAAATATATGACTAGGTTTTTTAAAAATGTGAAATAAACATTTTTTCCAGCTAAAGAATATTGTATATTTTAAATACAATATGCTAGATTTCCACTAGGCATTAAATGGAAAAAATTGTAATGACAAAATATGAGTTGCATTCGATCTTCGACTATGTTCGAAAGTGCTAATCGAACGAATTTTCATTTGGTATTATAATTACGGTGACCATCCGTCCTGTATTATACGGGATAGTCCACTTTTTTGACCAGTTGTACTGGCAATTAATTAATTTTCGGTTCGGGGTTCGGTATTTCGACGCCTTCAAAGCTCATTAAAATTGTATGACTATGAACCAGTTTTAAATGATGTTGGAATATGATCGTAACTTTATCCATAAACAGTTATTCAGCCTTATTGCCAATTCCATGTGAATAAATCGTTCCCATAATTTGACATGCAAAACAAAGACAAATTATGAAACGTTGTTTTTGTTTTGCTTTATAATTTTGGGGAATATTTGCTCACATGAAATTCACGATAAGGCCGATTATTTTCTAATCTGAATGCCTGTGCTTCGAATCGAGGAACACATACAGTGATCAAAATATAAATTAGGATTCTACATTTTAGCAAGGCTCGGCTATTTTTCTTTTGTTTATTTAATGTTTATTATTATTTTTTTAGTAAAGCTCTTTTCCTAACAAAAACCATTTAAATCTAAATTTCCGACTTTGTGCAAAAACTATGAGAATTAATTCCGCAAACTTTCACCAAAATTTCAGACTTTTTAATCAGAATCTTTAGAAAAAAATGTGGGTGCTGTTTAGTAGCTCATTACAATTTAGTATAATAAAGTGCAGTGCAACGTGCTGCTCATTTGCTTCCCTATCAACAAATTGTCGAACATATTAACTTTGTATGAAAAAAATGCGTAGCACGGTCAACAAAAAAAATTGCCAAAAATTAACGGTAAGTCCTAGCTACTTAAAACTTGCACTTATCGTGCTAAAATTTAACGAAACTTTTGTAAACAATTTTGTGCACTCAAAATCTCTAGAAAGATTTCCTACAAATTTGTGATGTTACTATAAGGATGCTGTTTCAGCGCTAATACATACGTCTAACTCCCCTATTATGAATTCGTACGATGTACGATAGACGCCTGGATTCTGTTATTCGCTATTACGAATCGATGTTGTCGTATGAAATCCGATAATTAGCGTAGCTGATTTGTGCTGGCTCACAACAAAAAAGTGAACAAAAACCACAGCCATTCACAACAATACATTTGTCGGGCGTATGAAAACGATAATACGAGAACTGATTTCGTACGATACGCGTGCAAGCGTTTATCGTCTATCGTATGAAAATTCATAATAGGGGGGTAAGATCATTTACGAAAGGTGTCAAGATCTGTAAACTTTTATGGAAAAAATTAGCAAAATAACTTGTTGTGTCGTATTCGGCTCGCATAAATATGGTCACCGTAATTATGATGCCTATTCGATGAATAATAGCGCTATTGTGAATTTCGCTCGTTTAGGTTGTTCAAAATTGTATATTTTTCACCGCTGTACTTATACACATTTATGTAAAATTGTGCAAATCAAAATGAAGTAAAAAAGAAAGCGAGTTTATAAAAACTTGGTAAAAATTAGTACAACGGAGTTCTGGTTCAACGATTCGTCAGAGGATGAGAGTTAAGTAAACTGGCGAGGAGTAGAAAATCTTTAAAAAGAGTTTAAGTGTAGTCTTTCGAATATATTTTGACAAAAAAAACCTTTCAGAAATTTGCCTACAGATTTATTAAAAACTTCCGACTGTCTAAAGATTTAGTGCATGGCGCAATAAACAGGTGAAGTATTAAAACAGCTTTCTCGCTTTATTTTCTGACATTCGGCTGCTTTATAGTCAAATTTAATAGGCAAATTTTCAAATAAGGCAGTGTCAAAATATTTCTTCTCACTCTAATTACTTCACTTTTTATAATTCCACCATGGCCTAGTGGAAATTCGGCATTAGGAATAAAATGAAAAGCGGCATTTACATATTTAAAAAAGAGTTCGGCAACGGGTCCCTACGGTAAATTTCCACCACCAAAAATCTCTTTCAGTCCTATCCAAAGTAAGTGACAAAACTAGCCGCATGACTGCCGTCATAATCTTTTCCCCTTAAAATATGCAATAAAAAAATATATTTTATACGTTAAAAAATGCTCTGAAAATGTAGTACACTGCTTTGATAGAGTATTTTCTAATATCAAATATATATTGTCGCATATTTTTAGGCGAATGTAGTAATGATAGTCGTCATTCCAGCGAGTTTCGTCATCTGCTGGCAATATTGCTGTAAATGAATAAAACGTGAGCCTAAAAATATGCAACAACTGCCAGTAAAATAGGCAATCCGCCCTATGTTGAATATCGTCATCGTCAGTAATGAGACGATATGGCCATTGTCAGCCATGTTACTGATGCGCTGCCGATCGTCGACGATGACGATAGGCCGAATGTTTTTACTGCCGCTTTGTTCAATGTCTTGTTAAAAAACATTATCGACTCATGCATATAATATGTGATCGAAAAAGCAGTTGTTCTATTAACAGGAGCTTCTAGCTGCGGTTTGTGTTAACCGGATTTTGAAACAAACTGGCCTTGGTGTATACAGGAAGCGACGCCAAGCCGAGTGGCACTGGGCTCGATGTGTGCTCTGAGATCCAATGCAGAAACCTTGCTAAAATGCCATCATTCGCGGGAACCTTTTTTTATTTTTATATGCGCCTTTGTAGATCTTTCCAATACGTTCCGAAGTCTGCCATTTCCAATCTTGCCATTTTAGAACTTTAAAGTAAACTAACGCCCTGTGGAAGCTCTATAAGGTAATTTTTACCTTTTTTCCATGAACCTCAAAGCACACTCAATCGGTGAAAACGTTTTGTTTTGCTTTGCTTGACGAAGTAAAATTAATAAGTCTGTTCCTTTGAACTTCGGACTAAAACCTGTGGAACTGTCAAACTACAATTTTACTCTCTCAAATGGGAGTAAAAGGAGAACAGATGCAGAAGTGCATAGGAACGCAAAAAGCACTATTTCCTGTAAAAATGTCAGTCGGTTTGTTTACATGTCATTTGTACAACACTGATTTAGCTGAAATATCACTAAATAATTATTAAAATCTATACACATTCAAACATTTCGTTGTTAATTTCCATTTTTTTTTACAAATATAAGGTACTTTGCTTTCACCGCTGTTTGTTTTTGCTTGCACATGCAATTCAGCTGATCGTTTGACACTTTTCATGAACTTACAGGAAAAAAAACTCCGGACTAAAATTTGTAAAGTATCGACATACAATTTTGTTTTTAGAATAAAAAAACATAAAACAAAAAGAAGAGAAAAAACTTGAAAAATTATCGCAGGAATATATACACAAAATATATATTTTTCATACCTTTTTTGAGGGAATTAGTATTATTTTTTGTAATTTCACTAAGGTCAAGTTAGTATGGTTTGATTAAAAAAGAAAAAGAAAATTAAAAAATATGTAAATATAAAAATCGTAAAGAATTAAGCAAGAATGATAGACTGCAATATAGCCAAAGATCATAGAAAATAAGGATGCTATGTTTATGGCTCCCTTATATTCTATGTTCATAGGAAAGTGCTACAGCGTTTGTGGCAAAAATTTTTTGGCTCCGTATTATTGTTCGATAATCCTTAAATAGGAACTGGTATAAAATTTAAACGTCTATGATTTTTAGTTTGAACGTTATGAAATCTTGCTTATAAATGTTTACAAAGTTTCCAACAAAAGAACCAAAAAACATTTGCCAATTATTTTGCAGAACCACTTTTGGCAACATTTATGTTACACAAGTAGTCACAACGAAGAGGTACTGAAAACTAATTGGTTCAATAATTGTGGCAAGCGGTTCAGCTTTTTGCTTTTACATCATTCTAAAGTATCAACTAAAACAAACCTTTAGACAAAATAATCAAAAAAAGAAGATTTATAAATTACAAAATTTATGGGTCGATTACGGATAGCAACGCAACCACGGTTCGGTTGCCAGCTGGCAACGCAACTGGAAAGAAAATTTGTATTACGAATGGCAACTATTGTCAGTTGCTGTAGAGTTATCGATAATTGAAATTTGACAGTTC